AACGTGGACTCCAAAGATGCAGACCCGGAGTTGTTGCAGCACTGTCGGACAACAAACCCGGCCTTGAAAAAGAACCAGTACTGGGTCTGAGAATATTTGAGATAGGACACAGAGAGAGGTGGATCCTCAAGTTCTGCAAGCCTCCCCAAATCTTTCCTCTCAGTATTAAAGACCTCTCGCCACACCAGTTTAAATGAAAATATTTTTTGAGACCATTGGTTATTTACTTATCTCAACATAACTATGGACAAAATCTCAGGCAATAAAACACTGAATACATTGGCAAAGAAAGAGGCAGTTTCATATCTAAGGAGGTTCATGCCATGTCTATTTATTTTAGTTTATCATTCCTCTTTGTCAAAGGGCACAAATGAAGACATAAACATGCCACGTGTTTGCAAAAAGTATTTTGGGTGTGCTCTTTCATTGTATTCCATAAGATATCAAAGGCCATTATTATTAATTTGAGTGGACAGGTAATTTAAAGTCTTTGTAATAGTTTGATTTTAGTTTTTGGTTCATCAGGAAAGTTGATAAGCCTTGTGTATAGATGATGAGGTAAATATATGCTGTATTATCGAGAAGATGAAACACTGCCTTTTTGTGTTTTCTCTTTACGTTGTTTTAAAGGTACCGTTGTATTATGTTTCTCAGGGCTAAATTCAGTTTTAAGGAATAGTACATCATTTTGTAAAATATGCTAATTCACTTTTTTCCCAAGAGTTAGATTAGAAGATTGATATCACTCTCATATATGTCTGTTAAATATGAAATTACAGCCAGGAGTTAGCTTAGCTGAACATAATGACTAAGGGGAAATAGGTAGGCTTGATTCTGTCCAAAGGAAAAAAATATCCACTAACCTCTAAAGTTCACAACCTACCATGTTGTATCTCTTTTGTATAATGCGTTCAAAAACCACAGTGTAAGAACAACAAGATTTGGTTTTACGGTTGTTTATTTGCCTACTATTTCTTGGCTGGACACAGTGACTTCCTGAATCTGGCTGGCTGAAAACAAGTTAGCTGTTGGCCCTGTCTCCAGTCTTTATGCTAAGCTAAGCTAATGGTCCCCTGTCTGTGGTTTCATATTAAACAGACAAATGTGTGAGTGGCATTGATCTTCCTCTTTGTAAGAGCGAATAAGCTTAGTTCCCAAAATGTCAAATTATTACTCTAATGTCATCATGTGATAACATTTCAGTAGTTTGACTTTTGTGTGAATAGAAGGTAGTTTAATACTTAAAACAGTTTAAAATAACAAACTTGTTGTGGCAACTTGCACAGGTTTCATTGAATTTAGCTCAGAGTCATGTCATCATCTGTCATATGTTATTATTTCTGCACATTTCCAAAGTGCTTGTAAATATTCATTGGACTGGCACAGCACTGACCACAAAACTACACAGTACATAGTTTATAGATCACAGGCAGGACATTATTTTGGTAGTATTGGTCTTTAACACATCTGTATTGGCTAGCTAGGCAGGAGTGAAGTCATCTCAAAGTTAGATGTTTCCAGTTTCCAAGTCTGCAATTAAGAAATCATAAAAACTGGTTGGTGCTGGCTGGCAAAACTAAATAAAATGCTTCACTGGTTAGGTTGCTTTGATTTAAAATGAAGACAACAGCAGAGTTTGTTTTAAAGTTTTCAAAGCTATTTTAGATTTTAAGCATTCCATATGTAAGCTGAATATAGAGGCTGTCATATACTGAGATCATGACTTTTTTTACTCTAGACTTGTTTTTTATGTTGAAACTAAGAAGAGCATCACTGTAAATCGGACTCCTCTTGTTTCTCTTTAGACATCTTAAATGTCAATCTGACCTGTGACGGTTATCTAGCTGTTGAATGTTGAGTATGTACTTAAGGTGAAGTAGAAAGTGTGAAATGAGAGAATCAGATGATTTCTTTTTGATCCACTAAAGAAAGGAAGGACTCAAACAACTATTTTTTTTTTCTGAAAACTGACTATTTGCTGTAAATTTCTTTTCTCATACTGTATACCGATGACACCTTTTTCTTCGTTAGTCATATACTGAATATACATTAATTTCTTTGCAGTATTCATCTTTTATTGATCTTATATTTTTGTAGTGTTTTAAGAGCAGGAAATATAGGTAGAGATTTTACAGACAGCACAGAGCTCAGGAAATTTCCTGTGACATTATCTCTTAAAGATAGCTGAAATAAAATGATTGGTTCCACCTTCAGGATATCCACATCTTACCAGTTTTATGTGTAAATTTTCTGTTTTTGAGTAAGATTTTTGGGCTTGATTAACATCTCGAAATATATATATATCATGTTTTGCATTGAAGGTATCTGTACATGTAACTACATTTAATTAGACTGATGAACAACAAAGTATGCCTGAGTGTGTGTGTCTCTGTGTGTTTGTGTGGGAGCCCATCACTCCACTCTGTCACTTGTCTGTTTCCTGCTTACTGAAGGCTGAGTTCATTGCCGAGTTTCATCACCATCCCCTCTTTTCATTATTTATTATTTCTGTCCCCAGAAATACTTCCCATTCATCAATTCATACATAGACGTTATGTGCTTTGTCAGAGTTTAAACTGTAATCCGTAAACTGCAGGTGCCTTTAAAAAATAATAGTAATACAAAGCAATGTTTAAATTCTGGAATTGGAGAAATGTCTATTGCTGCAGTATGCCTGTGAGCTTGTTCTTGGCACTAATAGAAATAAAAAATGTTCATGCAACAAAATCTGTGTTGTTGTTGTTGTTCCACTGTTGTTGACTTCACACTAGCATGATACAGTATATTATAATATTACAAAGCTATTTTAATTCTTTAAACATCTCTTTGTAACAAATTTCCCTGCAGGGATCAATAAAGTATTTCTGATTCTGATTATTGCCTTTTTTGGCCAATTACTAAATGTTTCAAAGATTAGACATGTTTATCACTTGAAAGTGCTGAGATATTAATTCATGTTTTGTGCCCTCATGGCCTAAAATGCTATAATTCAACACTTGTCTCTCATTTCAGCTAGCCAGTGTCTATACTAGATGTTTCCAGGGCTTGACTTACCTTACAAGAGAGATTGTGCATTTCCTGTTTTCGCCACTAAACTTTGGAGTAGTTCTAGGATGTTGCACTAAATATTTAATTTACTTTCAAAACTAGTTTATTCCAAAGACAACTTGTGCTTTTTCCAAGGTGTTAGTGCTAGTTGTTAGCATTTTATGTTACCTTTCAGCACAACATAATGACACTATACATGCTACTGAATTAATTATTATGTATTTGTATTTTATTTTAACTTTATGACATGTTTTTTTTGTTGAGATGTAATGCAAATGTAAGTATAAACCAGATTCATGAATATGATAAATAATAGTTTTAGTTTTAACTAACCAGGCAAAAACATCAGGAAAACACTTTTGTTTGCAGTGTGGCCTGAGATGAATTTGTGCAAAGAGAGAATATTAGACTTTTATTAGATATGTGTTAAAATACAGTTTTCAAGAGAAAGACACAACATTGTCTATGTTTTAGTTAATTATAATAAAAGAAAGTGCTGCATCTTTCCCAGGGAAAAATCTTTTTGTCAACCTTTTATCATCTGCTTTTATAAATGCTTGTGACCACCAGGTGGCGTTGGGGTGCAAACATGCCCTTGAAGAAACCAGAATAAGTCTTACAGCCATTTGTCAGCATTTAACAAGGTTCTCTCCGTCCGTCATTCTTTCCAGTGAATGGCCTTTACTTTCAGTGTTTCTCTCAGCTTTTTACATTTTCCTGCTCTCCTGTCTTCTCTCGTGTCACGGGCCTGGCATTGATCTGTCTCTGGTCTTCTCTGAGCTCTCATCCTGCAGGTTTCATAAGCTGCTTGGCACAGCTGTTCCTCCACATGTGTCTGCTTATGTCACTGTGCAGCGGCTTTCAAGTGTCAAGTTGAATGTATTTTTAAATGAATACAATAATGATACTGTGTTTCACTGTGCTAAAAAAAATTGCTACCATACCTTATTAAAATAAAATTAAAATTCAATGTTCCAAAGAATGCAAATTAAACTCTCACCAGCAATGAACCGGATTGTCTAATTCAAAACTGATACATAGTGTGCACATCAAATTTTAAACCTATTTTTTGACAGAAACAAAACCAAAATGAACATTTAGAAAGTAAAACCTGAATTAAACTAGCTAAAGTCCTTTGAAAATTGTGTTTTTATTCACTTCACCAGAAATAAAAGATATGCAGAAAAAATTTACAAGTGGGAAACATTCACAGGAGGGTCATTATCTGATGTGAATGCCTGATCTGAAGATCCAAAATGTCTCAAAGTATTGAAAAAAGCACTTTTTTTTGTTCTCGTGCCATGATTATAAGCATGTATTCAAAGGAGCAATAAGCAACTTGGATGAAGTCCATGTTTGTGGTGTTGTAAATCTCAACTCTGCTACCAAAAATGCAAACAGTATAGAGTAACTAATTGTGTTTTATGAAGAAATAATTTACTCCTGATACTGATTGGACACCACCCACTGTCCACTCCCTCAGATGTGTTTGTATCGTTGGCTGTTTCTTTTTAACCACATGCCTCTTACTAAATTGCAGATTTCTGCTTCAGATTCTTGTTTTGGATAGAAATGTGCATCTTCATACAGGACACCTCTTTTATGGATTGTCTGGCCTGGTCAGAGAGAATGAGCCGCTGACTGACAAACGTTATCCAGCATCAGTTTGGGACAAACTGACTCCTCCTTCCTGCCAAAAGTCTAACAAGAATGAAAACATACAAGACAGGGAGGAGGAAGCATTTTTGAGATGCCATGAAGCATTTAAGTGAAAATTAAGGTCTTGCTAAAGTGTCACAGCAGATTGTTTTGGCTTTCACTGAATTGAAAAATTGCAACGACAGTTGAGAAAAGATACAACTGTCCATTTGTGTTAAAAGATTACTTTAGAGCTAAAAGAGAGTGTCAGAATCACAAAAGATGGTATAGTTATTTGTCAAATATACCCACTCTGACAAATGTTTGACCTCATCTGTCACAAACTTACTTTACAAGCAAAGCACAAAGCAATTAAGTCAGCACTATTTCCAGCCTCTTTGAGTTTCAGAACATCAGTTTGCTTGTTAACCTTCAATATAAGTCTGAGCTGGGTTGTGTTGACATTGGCTTTAGCTCTTACAGGCAGGCTCTGAGTCAGACTCAGTGGAAGGGACATGCCTGTTTGTTTTGGACTTTACTCTGCTACATTATCTACAGACTCCATCAGCTCTCGACATGCAGTAAGTGGCATGCAAAAGGACAAACCTCGAAAACCAGGATGTTTTTAGGTGCATGCATCTCTCATCTCTCAAGTCAGTGCAGAAGTTACAACCTGAACATAAAACCTCTGCTTGATTGGTGCATCCCAGCTGTTGGATTGAATCCTCCACGGAATCAACTTCTCTCTAATTGATGTGGTTCTCCGCAAGTTCCTGCTTTGTTATTTTGGCAACATAGTTGGTGTTAAGCTGTGGAGCTGCTGCACTTCTCAGGGTTCATGTGCAAATCAAACAGTGTGGGTGGTACCATGATGTCTTATTATTTACATTTTCAGTTGATACATTTTTACAGACACTTCATACAGACACTTTGGGTGATGGTAAATGGAAAACAAAGTTGCTTGGAGCGAGCCACACAACACAGCCGGTGGTGTTTGTGCTCCCAGTCTTAAAATTTTTGACGTCCTGGGAATGAGACTCAACAATCAACTATCTTTCTCCAGAATGGTTGACTCCACCTTTAATTCTCCTGGAGTCTGATGTCTGACCAAATGACAATTAGTCACCAGTAACCTGTAAAACAACAGTTTGGGATGTTTTTGTTCTGGTTATTGTTAGGAAATAGAATGCACCAAATTAAAAAAAGCTGACTCCATTGACTAATTAAAAAAAATATATATATATATTTTGTGCCTGTATTGTAAAAGTATCCTCTGAGATTCATATTGAACACGTGTAACACTCTGTGGTTACATACAGCTGTCAGAGAAGGTTGGAGGTGGGTCCCAGAGGCCATATGTTGGGGTCAGGAGAGCAGTGTAATGTGCTGGGCTGGGGCCAGGGTGAGAGTCAGCCCTGTTGCTGCAGACGGTCCTGGAGAAAGAAAGGCCCTTCAGTCACAGGGACATACAGTAACAGCTGGTTAAGGGAGATAGATGATGATAGAGTTTTTTTGTTACCGTGTGAACACCCTGTTCCCCACTGTACAGAGTGCATAGGCTTTTCCTTGTAAATGTTCACGTTGACGAGACTGACAATGAATCATCATCAACTTTTGCCTCAAGATTGAAAATCATTAGGATCATCCAGTTATTCTCTCTTGTGTTCATTTCTAAAAAATAAATAAATAAATAAATAAACTGGAAAACAAAAAAGACGGGAACTGACTCTCATCATTCACTTGAAGTAGCTGACTCATACAAGACTTGTTCATTACTAACATGCACCTATAGGACTGATTTCCACAAGCCATGTTGTTTTGCAAATAGTATGATTAATTTATGCATTATAGCTTTTGTGTCTCTCCTATTATTTGCACCCTATGAGCCGGTCATAACAGAATATGCAAATCATACAGCCAAACAGCAGAGAAGTAATATATGCTGAAGGATTCTTGTGAGAAGTTTCTGTTGCGATCATAGCTGTGGAAAATTTTAATGTCAGTGTTGTAAGAAAGTATTGTGACACTGGAAGATCTAACTGTCTATAAGTCAGTCTCTGAGATAATTTAGTTGCACCCTGTTAATATTTCAGGAAGAAGAATTACCAGTGAACTAGATAATTATCCTGATGACGGATTGTTGCTTAACCCTGGATATTAGCTAATGTTGCTTAATGTCTTGTATAGCAGTATTGTCTCACCTTTCAGAATTTATTACAGGTCATTTAACTAATTTTAAAGCCTTTTAAAGCATCCCCCTGATCTTTTGTCTGTTAGCTGCACATTATCTTCCATCTAAATGTCAACTTTGCTAAGTATTAAATAACAACGAATGAGGAGAAAGAGATACATCTTCGAGCTACATTCCATTCACAGTAGGCTCCTTATACCATATAATTAGATTTACATTAACTCTTTGTAGGGAGGCTCTTACAGACCAACCTGATCATCAAGGAAACATTTTTAGTGGCTGTTAGGAGAAAACAAAAGAGGGACAGCACCTTATGATGTCACAATTTAGCTTAGCTTCCTCAAAGGTGTGCCAATCAACATTCATATTCCCTCTAAAAGGATTACATGTACATTACATTTCACATTTATTTTGGAAGTATTTTGGAACTCTTCTATAAAAGAATAGTTTGGGATATAAAGTGGGTAAGTTTGATACCACTTTCATGTCTATAACCTAAATATGAAGAGCCAGCAGGCACTTAGCAAAGTCGAACATTTGTTCATTTACTGTAAAGACCAAGCTCAGGAAAACTGAGGAAAATAATGAATTGTGAACCAGAACCAAGGGATGCAAACCAAAAGACAGACAGTCTAGTCACACTGTAGCTGGGATTTTAAATACAAATCACATTTTGTTGCATTTCACAATATAGTTCTTATTTTTCTCACATTTTGGAATGATAGTTTGGGTTGCACTTTTTGTTGGACGGTGTGTGATCCTACATTTCTCCTTGTGTTTTTATAAGCAGACTAAATTAAGTAGCCCAGAACAGACAAACCAAACAACGCAAGTTTCTCCTTAAACACTTGGAAGGCTGTGCTGTGATCAAATGGTTGCAATCTGCGACCTCGCCATTAGATTCAACTAATTATCCCACACACTGGTCCTTGAACTGTTTCTTGGCTGGGAGAAGTGACTCTCTGGAGTCTGATGACAAGATTCCAGGGAAGCTTGTTGCTCATGACCACCTCATTGCAACTACAGAAATCAAAGTAGGACTGTCTGTAAACTGTGCTGGATGTTTAATTATTTTACCACTCATTTTCATTTTCTCCACCAAGAAAGCTTTGCTGCTCATGTTTCTACTCCTAAATGACTTTTCAAGTAATGTAGCGGAGTTCACAGATCTTAACAAATAACTTGGTGAGTACCACGCTATTATTAGGGTCATATGGCCAAAAATAAGATCCAAGCTGTAATAAACGTATACTTTAAGGGTACATATGGGTTTAAATAAGGTCTGATATGGTTTAGAACAGTATTATGTAACTACACAGATTCTCAGCCTTTTCCCATCAAGACCCAACACTACAGCAACTGATTTATAGTGATTGCTACTGATTGAACGTTAATTAACCCAACACAAATCATTCCTCACCTCTCCACAGACCCCCACTAGCAAGCCACCTCCCCCGAGGGCTGCCTAGACGCCAGCTTGCCTCTGAAGTCATTGCGCAGCTTATTTGGTTTTGTGGCTTGACCAGCAGAGCAGATGATTCCACTGGTCCAGAGCTGAGTGAGACTTTCACCCGCTCCTCCTCTGTGAGAAATGTGCCCTGCTTTGTTACTCCCACTGACTGGAACACTATTGTCATGGAAATCTCTGTTGTGTTTTGCTTGTATGCGTGTGTGTGTAATACCCTGCAGTGGGGTGGGACAGACTACAGAGTGAGCCAAGTACAACATAGCGGAGGTCTAATATTGCCTCCCGCTCTCCTTTCATCCCTCCCTCCATTGCACCTCATCTTTCTCCCCTCCTTCACACCAGTTTCCATCCTCGCCATCCCCTCATCCGTCCTAATGCCCTCTAAAACCACAAACAGAGGCCAAGAGTCCGGGCTGGGAAGGAAATCCCCGGGGAAGGAAATCACCCATCACCCCTCCCTGAAAGCTGGGGAGGACATGCCTTCAGATCTGGTTTGTGTTGTGGCTCTGTCCAGCTGATAGGGTGGAGCTCTCCCTCCAGGGTTTATTAGGGTTTTGTCACTACATGAAGCAGGGAAACAAATTGCATCAGTCTGAATGCGCACATGCATGAAAAATGCAAAACAGGCTTTTGTTTCTTTTCTTCATTGGAGAATATGACAAATATTCCACACAGTGATGATGTTCTGTATGTTGGCAGTCATTTGTTTTTACAATTTGCCAAAGTTTCAGTTCTTGTTATTTTTCGAAGGCGGGTTTGTGATTAGGGTGAAAAGTTGTGCAAGTTCTCCCTGTTGATTTTGGAAAATGGAGGCACCAAACTGAAATATGACCAGGGGAAGTGTGGTCCTGAGGTGGTCCTGAAGGTGTATGAACAGGGTGAGGTGGTGGTCAGATCAAGGCGGGCCGGGGTTCAGCACACACAGAGACGTGGTATGCAGGAGCTGACTGGGAAGTTATTTTAAGGAAGAGCGCTTCTGGAAATTCACTCAGAGCTGTCTGCCTATGCTGCTTTTCATCACCAACGTTGCTATAGGCCACCACATAACAATTTGAAGTCATACAGTGGATGGAAAAGAACTGTGTTTTGCAGTAATATTCAAAAGCACTTTATAATGTGTACAGCATGTCAGTTTATCAAATAAAATTACTTTTTTGCAGCAAAACAAGCTGTAAACACAACACAGATGCAGCAGACATGGAGATATATTACTCACTCTCCATTTAGCTCTGATTTGGTCTCCACCAACTTCTAAGGGAACTAGCTGATTTTAACGCTGGTGAATGCTCCACTATGTTCAACAGCTTGTTGCTAGAGTTCATCAGAGCTTGTTCGCTGAGAACTGCTGTGTGCTGTGACCGGAAATGACGTTGATAAAAGTGAGACTGAACCAAAACAGGCTGCATACCATAGGCCTTAAAAATCCCAGTAGAGCTGAGGGGAGTTGCAGAGTCATGTGATAATCCTATGCGAGTCACTTCACATTAAACATAGTGATTTGATCCATTATTGAAAATGATGACTCTATAACTCTAGCTGAGTGTTATGCTATATGTACTATAACCCTGTATAAGAAAAACATAAACTAAAGTATCCATTTTAAAGAAACCAGAAATATGTGAATTATCTACCCTCAGGTTGTGTTTCTATTCTGTTGATACACCTTTATAAGACTTTAATATTTGTATTTGGTATATTATAGATGTTTTTTACTTGCCATATTGAGATGAATGATATAACAAAGAAAATGTGTTATATAAGAAAAAGTTCAAGAATTTGATTGTTAAACAGCTGTTAAGTCAATAATAAAGAAAATTAGAAGAAAAATTGTTACTCGCTTAAATGAAAACTGAAGTATATCAAGGTTGGTGGACAACATGAGGCATTAATGAATACATTAATGAATTGTCACCAATGTAACAAAGGAAAGACAATTATCTTGGATACACTGGATCAAGGCCACTAGCAAAGTCTTCATATGTTCTTCAGATTCAGACCATGTTGTATGTGTGTACAGCATGTTTAACTTTGGTTTATTTCTTTGATGTAATCACAACAACAGTTTTGTCACATTAGTGCTTTGAAGGAAATGTTGGGTCTTATATTCACAAGATGTTATATGTATTAATACTTCTCTTCCTGTAAGAACTCACATGATAAACATCGGGAATGGGACTTGTTTAAAAAGTGGGTAGATGTTTCCTCTGCTCTTTTCTCTGGAATAGTCAGTGGGATATGTCTAATTGCTGGTGATATCTGTTCACAGTTTAGTCTCCAATTGTCCAGGAATGCCTAAAACCACAGTCAAAGGGAGTGTGGGGAAGAAAGAATCACCGAGCTGCAGACTAGAAGGGAAAAATGTTGGCATGCCTCCACAGCCGAACAACCAGGGCAGAACGTTCTTTTTTTCTTCTTATCTTTTTCCCCTTGCTCTGTTTGAGCTCTGACATTTGCACAGGGCGTGATGTGAGCCTGCGTCAGCTCGTACAGTCCTGCGTTGTGTCACATTCTTATTTGTGCACTGTTTGATAATTCTATCTGGGAGGTGTATTTTTCACACTTTAAATTCACCTTTGAAGTGTTGTTGGCCAAGTTATTAAACTTGTTAAATGTTGTCTTCACTGGAATGATAAAGAGGTCTTACAGTTCTGGGCTGGGTTTTGGTTTTGTTTTGTTTGGCTTTCCTCTCATTAAGCACTCAAAATCAATGTTTGGGTATAAATCTGCTGAAGTAATAGCATACATCATCATATTACTGATGGAATATTTGACTTTATGTAACCTTTCCATCGTTTAAGAAGATGACCCCAAGTGAGTGCCTTGCCTAAAAAATAGCTCTCAGATGCTAACAATAAGAACCTTGCAATTTGTTTTTTTTATCATCAACAATATCACAAATAGGAACAGTGTCTCATGCTATGTTGTCTTCCTTCTAAAGCATTTTGACCGACTAGCTGCCTGCAGGAAACTGACTGGCACTCTTGCTCTCAGACTTTGCGTATAGTGATGGATGTTTTTTCTATGAGGGGATAAGAATATCCTTCCAACATTAGATATCCACCATTTTCAAAACTGTGTCAGTCTCTTACCAAAACACTGTGTGCAATGAAAGTAAAACTCGCTAAATATGAGTAATGCTGTACTGTATGAAATCATCTGTTTTCTGGAAATATGAAGCAAAACTAATGTACATCAGGGAGCAGTGAATAGCAGTGCATGGATGTCTGTGTTGTTGGAATAAAACCTTTTAATCACGCTTGGCTGTATACTTTCTACAGTCTGATGTTAGTTTTCCAATGTTGACGTTTGCTCTGTCCATTTCACGGACAGAATAGACTGTCCATGGGGAGATGGGGGTGGGGGCAGTTTGGTATGAGCCAGTCTGGCCAAACTGGATGGCTGAGACTCATAATTATCACAGTGATTCCCATGTCTGTTTGATACATGTATTTTTCCTTTCCACTTAGATTTAAGAGTTGTTATTGGCCTGTGAAACAATAACATATCTGCAGGGGTTTACTGATCAATGTCAGTCCCCTTATGATTTTTTTTTTTTTTTTTTTTGGCTGGTTGCTTAGATTTATGAATTTCAAAACTAATTTTCTTTGGCATAGTAAAGCATTCCATCACTTATACTACCTGCAGTACAAACACAATGTCAGAAGCAAGCAATCTATCAATCAATCATCAATAGCAATAACATTAATGCTGGATGCATTCCATTTTGGTGTGCAGGTTTCAGGTGTTCACTTATTGTGCATGTTGGCTCACTGGCTTTGCTTACTGGCACTCCTGAAGGACCAGTGCATAGGACTTAGTGGTATGTAGCAGTGAAGTTTTAGATTACAATAACTGAACACAGCTCGCATCTGGATTTCACAAGCTGGGCATTAGAACTGGCTATGAAGACTGAAAGAGAAACTACGGTGGCCACCATGGCCCACGGCGTCTGTACATAAAAACAACTAATTCTAAGGTTACTAAAACACAACCATTCTCATATTAAGGTGATTATACACTGATGAAAACAATCCCACACACTGGACCTTTAAAGGATTTTGTGCCATCTAGTGGTGAAGTTGCAGATTGCAGCCAACTGAATACCGCATAACTTCTAAGCATGCAGGAGAAATTATGGTAGCCACGAGTCTCAAGAAAAACACAAAAGGCCCCATCTAGAGCCAGTGTTTGGTTTGTCCATTCAACATGGTCCCAGTAGATGTTGATTCAATTCCTTATTATTGTACATGTTTGTTTAATAACTGAACCTTGGTCTACTGTCATTTTGCAAAAGAGGCTCCTGGGCAAAGAAAGTGTTCAAAGGTTTAGTTTTGGCTTACTGTGTCAAAAAGAGCCTGTGAATATGTGTTAAAGGTTGTCTACAGTAAAGCAATAACATGTTTAAACGAAACAAACGTCACTCATAAGTGTAAGAGAGAAAAAGAGGGATGTAAAGAGAGAGAGAGATGGCAGAGAAGAGACTTTTGGATCAGACAGTGAGATAATGGTTTTGTGTGGCTTTTGTTTCCTAAAGCAGGAATGTTGTTTACAGGGATTGAACAGCTTCTCAAGAATGCAGACTGCGCTCTGAGGAAATGGTTGTTGTCTCCAGAGGGAACATCTACAGCCAGGCTGCAGACCCAGAGGGAAAAGGTTGACAGGGGCAGACTTTATGTGTAGTTCAAGAAGCCTGTGGAACTATTTCGTTCATATTAACAGATAATGTGATGATATAACGTACCTGTTTACAGCCTCACACAGCCAGAATACAAGCTCAGTTTTCATGCTGATATTTACGTCTGGGAAACATCCTCTGAGAATCATTTGATCTCGGTCTGATATGTACCAGATCATCTTACCATGAAAAAATGATAACATGACTTGCTGCTTCTCAGAAATTGCTTTGTACCTAAATAAAATGAGACTGAGTCTGCAACTTTATGGCCTAAATCCTGCCTCAGATTTATTGAGAAACTGATCTTGGTAGATACTGTATTTTAGAAGAATTTCCAGCCACATGTTGTTACAGCTTGAAACTTGGAAGCAGTGACACTAATGTCAGCCGAGCAATTG